TGTGTGTGTGTGTGTGTGTGTGTGTGTGTGTGTGTGTGTGTGTGTGTGTGTGTGTGTGTGTGTGTGTGTGTGTGTGTGCGCGTGTTTGTGTGTGCGCGTGTTTGTGTGTGTGTGTGCTTGAGAGCGCGTGTTTGTGTCCTCCCTTCCCTTGCGTTTGCGCACACACGTGAGTGGCTCGAAAATAATTTGAAGATGTACACAAATCCTCCATAACCGCGGTTTGGTTGCTTCTTGCTGTCGTCGTTTCATTCGTTCGGTTGTTGTCGACTGTTCCATCTCTCAATCTGCATCGTATCCGCTGCCTGCCGTCCGCCGTCCACATCCCACACACACACACACACGAAGACCGCCGTCATGTTTATGACTCGCTCCGAATATGATCGGTGAGACACCTACTGCGCGCGCATGTGCATGGGCGCGCGTGTGAGAGAGATTTGACATGTGCGCGAAGATGGGTGGTTTGCCAGTGCAAGAACAACAATGACAACGGCAAGACCTCATCCATGTCTGGCTCGTGTGTTTGTGTTTGTTGTCAGTGGTGTGAACACCTTTTCACCCGAGGGCCGCATCTTCCAGGTCGAGTACGCCAACGAGGCAATCAAGGTATGCGCGTGTTGTTGACGCCATTGCGTGGAGTGGGGAAGGTCGAAAGCGAACCTTCTACTCAACATGCGTTCATTTCTGTGTGTCTGTGTCTGTGTCTGTGTCTGTCTCACAAACGCATCCTATGCCCTCAAACACACGCCCGCACACGCACAAATACACACACACACACACACACACACGCACATGCACACGCAAACGTAGCTTGGTGCCACTGCCATTGGCATCCAAACAAACGAGGGCGTGATCATCGCTGTGGAGAAGCGTGTCACGTCTCCGCTCATGGAGCCCGAGAGCGTGCCCAAGATCTTCGAGATTGATGCTCACCTTGGTGCGTCGTGATTGCACGTTGATGGATGGCTGTTCTTGTGTGCTTGATTGTTGCCACAGCCATCTCACTTCTCGCTCTCTCTCTCATTACGGGATGATTCATGCACAATTGTGATGCACGCATGCATGTTTGCGGTCTGCAGCGTGTGCCATGAGCGGCTTGAACGCCGATGCCCGTACATTGATTGAGCGCGCCCGCGTCGAGGCACAGGTTGTGTTGCACAAGTGTGCGAGTGTGTGTCGGTGAGAGAGAGAGAGAGTGTGTGTGTGTGTGTGTGCGTGTGTGCGAAAGTGTGAGTGTGAATGGGTGTGCTTGAGAGTGAGCAAGCCGGTGAAACAAAACCACACACACACACACACACACACACACACACACATTCACACACACACACACACACACACACCCCTGCGTGTTTGTGCAGAACTACTGGTTCACGTACAACGAGCCCATGTCTGTCGAGTCGGTCACACAGTCTGTGTGCAACCTGGCCATGCAGTTTGGCGAGGGCTCCGACAGAGAATCAGGCAGCATGGTGCGTTGATTCTCAGCCCTGCATGTCTGTCTGCTGGTGCGAAGTGCACAACAAGCCGTTCACCCGCCTTCTTCACCTCTTCTCCTCTTCTCATCTTGCCTTCTTCTTCTTTTTCTTCTTTTTCTTCTTCTTCTTTATCTTGCCTTGCTGCATTATCTCGTTTCACTTGATAGAGCCGCCCGTTTGGTGTTGCGCTGCTGTTTGCCGGCATCGACAAGGAAGGCTCATCCATCAAGCCGCAACTGTGCGTGTGTGCGTGCGTGTGTGCGTGCGTGTGTGTGTGTGTGTGCGTGTGTGTGTGTGTGTGTGTGGGTGGGTGGGTGGGCGTGTGTGTGTGTGTGTGTGCTTCCGCTAGTGCACTATTCTGCGTCGACACGTGTGCATGCATTCCCCTGCCTCACTGCTCTGCACGTGTGTGTGTGTGTGTGTGTGGTTTTTTTTTCGCTGCACCACAAACACGCCAGGTTTCATGCTGATCCATCGGGCACCTTTGTCAGCTACCTCGCCAAGGCCATCGGTGCGCTGACGTCACATGGATTGCGCGACTTGGCTTTTGCTGTCGTGCGTGCCGGCTGTGCGTGCAGGCTGTGCGTGCACTGGGCTTGTTGACCTCACCTTTGATTGTTCTCTGTGCGTGCTCTGTGAATCGACTGCCAGGATCTGGCTCTGAGGGCGCGCAGACTGCTCTGCAGGACGCGTACGACAAGGTACACCAGCAACGTGCCAGTGTGATTTGTGGTGTGCGTGTCATGTGTGTGTGCTTGTCTGTGCGTGTGTGTGTATGTGTGTGTATGTGTGTGTGTAATATGTGCTCGTCTGTGTGTTTGTGCGTGTGTGTAATGTGTAATGTGTGTGTGTGTGTGTTGTGTGTGTGTTGTGCCACGGTTCTGTTGACACGGTCAACTTGTGCCAATGCACGTATGGACAGGCCATGTCGCTGGCAGATGCGGAGAAGCTTGCGCTGCAGACGCTGAAGCAGGTCATGGAGGAACAAATCACCGCAAAGAACATCGAGGTGAGATGATGGTGGCAGGTGCGAAGCACCCTATTGTGCGTGTGCGTGATTGTGCGTGTGCGTGTGTGTGTTTGTGTGAAGGTGATCGCGCATACATACACTTGCACACACTTGCATACATACACTTGCACACACTTGCATACATACATGCAGCACACACTCGCACACACATACACTCGCACACGTGAATACTCACTCACTCATGCATGCATGTCATCATATTCCCCTCTCCCCTCCCACCCTCCTCCCACCCCAGGTTGCCACGGTGAAGGTGAACGAGGAGACGAACATGCCGCAGTTCAAGAAGTACACACACGAGGAGCGCGAGGAGGCCCTCACGCGCAACGGCGTCACCACCGCGCAGGCAGCAACGGCATCCGAGTAAACCCAGCTGCACCCACCCTCTGCTGCACGCAAACACCCCTCTGTCTCTTTCGTTCTGTTGTTGTTGTTGTTGCTGTTGTTGTTGTTGCTGCGTATCGTGTTGTTGGGTTGTGCACGTGGGCGAGCGGAGGGCCGTCACAAATGTTAACCGTTGTTGTCTTTCGTTCCCCCCTCTTGTGGGAGGGTCACGTCAGTTTGTGGTGCTGCACCAAAGTAAACGTTGAGATTGGTTGAGCTGTATGATGGAAAGGATGAACGCGTGCAAGCAAGCGGTGAACAGACAAGACACAGCAAAGCACAGCACAGCAGAGCGAGTGCAACACGGCGGCCACTGGCACACACACCACAAGTCACTGACACACTCTCACTCTGCTCTCCTCAGCCAACACACACACACACACACACACACACACACACACACACACACACACACACACACACACACACACACTCACCGCATTCCCACGCACACGTTTGCACGAGCGGAGCAAACCAAAACAACGGAGGATTGTTGGAAGGCGTTGGCGAAATTTCTCACCGCGCCTCGCCGTCCGTTGTTTGCGCATTCCATACACAGCAGCAGCAGTGTTTGGCAGCAACGAAAGCGAGACAGCACCACCCACCCACCTTCGCCAAAGCACCCTGCCTTCTCTTCGCTCGCTTGTTGTGAGAAAAGGAGGAGGGGCTGAGCCACAAGCAACCAGCCAACCAAGCAAGAGGGAGAGGAAGGGTGCGCGTGTGGACGTCTGTGTCTTGGGTTTGCGTGTGCGGGGCACGTCTGTGGGGAAGTCGACGCGGCCTAGTGCAGGCGTGCGAGTCATCACCACCCATCCAACACTGCGAGGAGGACTGTACGTTCAGCCACCACCATGGGCAAGGATAACAACAAGAAGTTGGATCGCAAGCTGTATGATGCGGTCAAGTCTGGAAAGACGGCGACAGTGAAGAAGTTGCTGGAGGATGGCGCCAATCCAAATGCGCCCGTGGGCAAGAAAGGTGGGCCTCGCCAGTGCAACCGGGGGGTGGCTTGGTTACGTTGTTGTATGGCGCTGCGAGTGCAACACCCGGCGCCGTGTGTGTTGGTAATTGCCGTGTGTGTGTGTGTGTGCGTGTGTGTGTGTGTGTGTGCGTGTGTGTGTTTGTGTTGGTAATTGCTCTGTGTGTGCGTGTGCGTGTGCGTGTATGTGTGTGTGTGTTGGCAAGTGCCTTCTGTACAACGGGCTGCACATGTCGCACAACGTGGTCACACAACGTGTTGTACTCTCGATTCCCCCCTAACCCAATCAAACCATCAATCAATCAACCACCCAACGACACTGCGTCTGCAGGCCTGACGTCCATGTATCGTGCGGCCCAGAAGAACTATGTTGACATTGAAGAGCTGCTCATGAAGCGAGGCGGGACCTTGCACAGCTCTTCCAGCCTCGGTGAGTGTGTGTGTGCGTGTTGTGTGTGTGTGTGTGTGTGTGTGTGTGTGTGTGTGTGTGTGTGTGTGTGTGTGTGTGTGTGTGTGTGTGTGTGTGTGTGTGTGTGCGGGCGTAGAATACTCGCACGCCAGCGCGTGAATAAACTCACATGAGTCCACTTGCTCACACCTCGCGCGCAACCTTGCAGCGAAACGATTGCAAGCCATGTATGACGCCGATCAAGACGTACGCTCGATGATGCACAACGCGCGCCCAACCGCTTGCCAACACACACACACACATAAGCGCACGTGCTTTTGGCGTGCTTACGCTGCCTATTGTCACTGCCCGATTCCCCGCTCTTTGTTGTGTCTCACGTGACAATGCTGTCGTCCCACATTGCACTGCAACCATTGTGCTGCAACGCGCAGAGCATGAGCCAGAGTGGCATGTCTGACGGTGGCGATTCGCAAGGGTACATGGAGCCGATTGCCTCGCGCTCATCGCTGCAGCCCGTGGCGGAGGGCGAGGAGGACCCCAGCAAGGCCGCAAAGTTCTCCCGCGCATCCAGCCTCATGGACGGTCTCAGGTTTGTGTTGCGGGGACGGGGAGGGGAAGAAAAGAGAGAGAGAGAGAGAGAGAGAGAGAGAGAGAGAGAGAGAGAGAGAGAGAGAGAGAGAGAGAGAGAGAGAGAGAGAGAGAGAGAGAGAGAGAGAGAGAGAGAGAGAGAGAGAGGGTCCGTGATGAGTGTGGTTGCACAGTTTTGTTTGTTTGAAATGTGTGGAACAGTCTCAACGCCGATGCAACACAACACAACACAACACAACACAACACAACACAACACAATCCAATCCAACACAACACAACACAACACAACACAACACAACACAACACAAACACGCTACAATGCAACAAACCACACACACACACACACATACACACACATACACACACACACACATACACACACACACACACACACACACACACACAACACAATACAAACACGCCACAGGTCCAGCATCCGGCGCTCACAGAAGAAGCCTGCAGCAGAGAGCGTACCCGCCGCGGGGCCCATTGCCTCACAGCGCAACAGCACAGACAACAGCAAGGGCGCGGAGACGAGCGACGCTGTGGTGCACGAGGAGGATGCACCGTCGTCCTCGGAGTCTGGGTCGACCGGAGTGGTGGCTGCAGACTGGGCGGTGCCCGTGGAAGCAGCCAACATCCTCGCAGATGACACCCTCGAGTTTGACCGCACAAAGCTGAAGCAGGTGCGACGGGGCGCTGTGTATATTGTGTCAATGTCTGTCTGTCTGTCTGTCTGTCTGTCTGTCTGTCTCCCTCCCTCCCTCCCTCCCCCCTCTTTCCCCGTGCACGCAATGTGCGGGTGTTTATCCACGCGCACGTTCCAACCTCACCCTGTCATGTCCACTTCCTTGTCAGGTGCGCAAGCTTGGTCAGGGCCATTTCGGCGTCGTGTTTGAGGGCGAAGCGTCGTCCATTGTGGACGGTCAGCCCACCACCCGCGTCGCAGTCAAGGTGCGTTGTGTGCTGTATGTTGTATGGTTGTACGTGTATGTGTGTGCACGTGTGCGTGTTAGCATTGCATGTGTGCACATTTACCCGCGTACATTTACCGTCAGCATCGTGTGCGCCCTTAACTCATGGCGTGATTACATATGTGTGCAAACGGTGCGCTTTGGCGTTGGCAGATGCTCTCGGAGACGTCGGAGGAGGCACGAATGGACTTCTTTAAAGAAGTGCAGATTATGCAGTGAGTGGCGCCACCTCGCCCCACTGCTTTTACTTTCACGTCTTTTCCTTTGCATACACATTGTGGTGAAATAGGCACGTTGGTCCTATTTGTCCTATTTGTCCTGTCGTTCCTGTTTCTTCGTGGTTCATGCGTGACATCCCGTGCTGTGCATGTGACACGCCATCCCGCCCGTTTTGTTTTTCCGATGACCGCAACCACAGCTCCATCACTGGCTCCAATTTCATCATCAAACTTCTGGGCGTGTGCACAACGGTGAGCACTCGTGTACGTGGGTGTATGCAAGCTTTGTAGTCAACAAGTGCGCGCCTGTACGTATGAAGATGTTGTGTTTGTGTTTGTGTTTGTGTGCATATGCGTGCGCATACATGTGTGTGCGTACATGTGCGTTCGTCCATCACCAGCATCTCCGTTGACACCTCTTTTCCTTCCCGAATTCACTGCCCCATCTCTACCGGACACACACACACACACACACACACACACACACACACACACACACACACACACACACACACACACACACACACACACACGCACGCACGCACGCACGCACGCACGCACGCGCAGGAGGAGCCCTTCCTGATGATTATGGAGCTGATGGGCAAGGGCGATCTGAAGACGAGGGTATGGCGTACCTGCAGGAGATTCGTGTTGTCCACCGCGACCTCGCTGCTCGCAACTGCCTCGTCGACGACGTATGTGCTGTTCGCGTGCCTGCCTGTGTTGTGTCGTGCCTCCTGCCTGCATTGTGTTGTTCGCCTTTGCAGCAAGTGTCATGGTGGGTGCTGCTGTGTGAAATGGCAATGCGCGCCCGCAGCACTGTGCAAACTCATTCGTCACAACCTACGCTACCACCACCACCACCACCACCACCACCACCACCACCACCACCATACGCTGCCATCGTCACCAGGACTGGCGTGTGAAGATTGGAGACTTTGGTTTGACGCGGGATGTGTACGCGGGCGAATACTACAGGAGTAAGTTGCTCATTTGTGGCTGTGTGTTTGTGTGTGTGTGTGTGTGTGTGTGTGTGTGTGTGTGTGTGTGTGTGTGTGTGTGTGTGTGTGTTCATGTGTGTTCATGTGTGTTTCCGTGCCTTTCCCTCAAGCCCTCCCACCATGCGACATGCTAGCTGTGCTGTGCCCATACTCACTGTGCCACGTGTGCCACTCACTCCCTGGCGACAGTGACGGGATCAACACCGCTGCCCGTGAGGTGGATGGCGCCAGAGGCCATCGAGGACGGCGTGTTCACAAGTGAGCAGTACAGCATGTGGCGGTGGCGGCGACGGAGGCGGCGATGGTGGCGGTGATGGAAGATGGAGCTGCTAAGAGTCAGCGTGTGGTGATGGCTCAGTGCGGAATGCTGCAGCGGGTATTGTTGAGGGTGTAGAAGGTGGGGACAAGTGCAGTGCTGCAACAAACACGCCATTCAAGTACCCCTGCCCCATGCCAACTCACGCACACATCTGCCCTCGAATTGCGTTGCTCCTCACCATTGCTCCAATGCGCGTGCACAGCCCAATCCGACACGTGGGCGTTTGGCGTTGTGCTGTGGGAGCTCGTCACCTTTGCCAAGATGCCATACGCCGGCCTCAGCAACTTGGTGCGTGTGTGAGTGAATGAGTGAGTGCGCGCGTGTGCATGAGCGTGTGCTCTGCGTTTGAGTTTCTTGTCATCTTCACCACCACATTCACCACCACCACCACCACATTCACCACCACCACCACCACCACCACCCCCACCGTGCACCTTGTTGTCGTCAACAGGAGGTGGTTGAGCGCGTCACGGACGAAAACTACCGCCTGCCGCAACCAAAAGGTGACAAACAAAACCCCGGAGACTGCCGCCGTCATCACACGCACAGACCAACAACACACGATCACGTCACATCTACACGCCTGAGTGTTTGTTCGCTTCCTGCCCGCCCTTCTCCATCCCCTTCCCACCCTGCAGCATCTCACCCACGAATCGCAACACCCCCCCCCCCTTCTTTCACAAACACGCTCGTCGCGTGTCCCGCTGCAGAGTGTCCTGACGAGCTGTACAGCCTGATGTTGGGCTGCTGGGACGACGACCCCGAGGCGCGGCCGGCGTTTCAGCAGCTGTGCGATCGCCTTCGCGCATTTGCCAACGACGTCTCTGACGCGCCCATCACCAAGATGCGCAAGAACAGCCGGTCAGAGCTCACCTCCCCCCTCACACACTCCCAGCAACAGGACACGCAGCAGCAGCAGCAGCAGCAGCAGCAGCAGCAACAAGAGGACGATGGTGTCAAGGATCAATACGTGGACATGTCAGCCGCCACGGTACGTCCATGGTCGATTGGAGCGCGCCGCGGGTGGGGGAGACGAGACGCAGTGGAGAAGAGTGCGACTGGTGCGACAGCATGCATCGTGTCCTCCATACACACACACGCACAACACAAATGCACACACACATACACACACACTCACACACACACACTCTCACACACACACACACACTCTCTCTCTCTCTCACGCACACACACAACACAAATGCGCACACACATACACACACACACACACACAACGCCCACCAGCAGGCTGTGGCCGCCTCTGATGATGACGATGAGGAGCGAACGGTGCGGACGGACGACGGCGTGACATATGTTGCCAGCCCGACGGGGGACGACTCTGCAATGTACATGGAGACTGTCAACGACGTAAGGCCCATGAACAGGGAGAGTGAGGGAGAGGAATTTGTGCTGGTGGTGCCGTATTTGTGATGTGTTGATGTGTTTGTCGTGGTGTGCTCGTGTATACTTGTGTTTCTGTCGTGTTTTTGTGTGTGTGTGTGTGTGTGTGTGTGTGTGTGTGTGTGTGTGTGTGTGTGTGCGGGTGTGTGTGTGTGCGGGTGTGTGTGTGTGTGTGTGTGTGTGTGTGTGTGTGTGTGTGTGTGTGTGTGTGTGTGCGGGTGTGCGGCTCGTGCCTGTCTCCTTTGACCTCGCATCCACCCGTACCCTCACACCCCAATCACGTTCATCACGGGCTTGCACTGCAACTGCTGCGCGTGCGCTGAGCAGAAGTACCCTACATTGTCCAGCATGGAGCTCGCCATCAAGGTGGCAAAGGACCAAGCGGTGGGAGCTCGCCATCAAGGTGGCAAAGGACCAAGCGGTGGGTGGATACTCTACGCTCTGTGTATGCTGGGGAAAAGTGCGAAGCAGAGAGGGAGTTGATCGGTCACAAGATGTAAGCCTCCTTCTGTAGCCACGAAGTATATCCGGGTTTGATACGTACACTACTACACACACACACACACACACACACACACACCACACACACACACACACACACACACACACACACACACCCGCACACACAGGCCATCCAGAATGTGTCGGTGGAAGGCAAAGAGGCAGCGGTGCATGTGAGCAAGCGCCAAGCAAAGGAGGAGGAAGACGGTCCCACCACCACCACCAACGCGAACAAGACGCCTGCGCAAGAGCAGGCCAACCCGCGGCCAAGCGTGAGCGCAATGAAGAGCGTGTGGCTGCAGCATGGAGAGCAGGCACGATTGGACGCGGAGCGAACGAACTTCAAGACATCGCAGCAGCGCGACAAGGAAGATGCGCACCAGCCACAGCAGCAGCAACAACAGCAGCAGAAGGAAGCGGAGGAAAAGTCGCAGGTACAACCACACACTTTCTTTTTTTTTTTTTTTTGAGGCTATTGAGTCGACCGGGGGTGTCATACATGTGTGCATGTGTTTCGTCGACGTTGACAACATGGCACTGCGTCACTGCCTCACACTCTGCCATTGATGTGCATGGTTATTTGCTGTTGTTTTGACGTTTCCTGTTTCGGTTGCCTGACTTGCCCGTGCCTGCAGACGGCACCGGCTGCACATGGGAAGAAGAAGGAAGAGGAGAAGAAGAAAGAGGAAGAGGAAGCGGAGGTGGCCGTGCGGTCGCCGTTTGGAATCAAGAAGAAGAAGGCCAAGCCAAAGGTGCGACATGCCATCTCTGTGCTTTCAAATATGGTCATGCGGCAGCTGTTTTCCAGCCAGATGTTCGTGTCGCACTGTGACCACAACCCTCACTCACGCATTCACACACACACACACACACACACACACACACACACACACACACATACACACACACACACGCAGTATGGCGGTGCAAAAACTTGGGTGACGGCTGGTGTTCCCATGGGCAACCATATCCAGGGCATGCTTCCGGAGAGTAAGTGATCAATGGCAAATATGTAGTGCCATCCGTTTGGTAGTTGCTCCTGCAGGCATGCGCGCCACTGCTGCTTCTCCCGCTTTCCTTCCTCCTTTCCGCTTCTTCCTTGTCCTTGTATCAGTTTCCTTGAACGTTTGTCCTTGTACGTTGTTTCATTGTACTTCTTCCCAACACCCTTCCTCAACACCTGGGCTACTGCCTCTTTCCTTCTCAACCACCACCAGGCCGTGAGCGCGAAGCAAAGCAGCCGCCGTCACAGTCAGAGTCGAAGCGGGAGAGCAAAGTCAACACCGCTGCACGGCCTGTGTTCCCAGGTTTGTGTGCGTGTGTGTGTGCGTGCGTGTGTGTGCGTGTGTGCGCGCGTGTGTGTATTTTTGTGTGTGTTTGTGTGCATGAGTGTGTGTGTGTATGCTTTAACATGAATACGTGTGCATATATTTGCGTGTATGTGTGCACTATGTTTGAACATGGCTGCGTGATGAACATTGTGCAAGCATCATCGTTGGAGCTCCATGAAGCTTTAATGTCTCCATTCCCGTCCACCTAATTCTCACATGATGTCGTGATGACCACGGCACCTTGTCTCACCGTCGATCGGGCAGTGATGCAACCGCAAGAGGGCATTGACCGTGCAGACCTGCTCACTTTCTGACATGTGCGTGTGTGTGTGTG